TACATATATATAAACACATTCATACATACATTTTGAATATATAAATTTTCCTTTTTTTAAAAATATAAAGTTTTACATTTACAAATATTATAGTTTTTATACATTTAATAAATTATAATAAAGAATATAAATCACCATATCAATAAGAAAAAAAATAAAAATAGAAACATAAAAAAAAAGAAATAGAGTAGTTTAAATATAAACTTGGTATCTTATAGAAGATCTAATGATCTTGTCGTCAGAACCATAAACGTTATAATAAAATATAACTTAAGCCATTAATAAATATAAACAAATAAAAATGACAAAATACAAAAACAAAAGAACGTCTTTATGTAAATCTCTTATTTTTAAAAGTATTTCGATATATTGTCATTAAAAAGAAGGAGTTCTTTTAATTTCTCTTTAAAGACTGAGAAGCTATTCGATAAATCAAAATTAGGTAAAACGATTTTCTTCCAAAGATGAAAGAAAATCGTTTTACTTTATTTAAACATAATATTATTCATAAATATTAATTACTTTGATAATTTTAAAGAAAAAATTTGAAAACGTAAGTCGAGTTTCTGACGATGATAAAGAGTACGCAACTTTTGCTTGTACTTCCCACAGCAATATTTGCATAGTTAATATAACTATGTATAAATGAGTTGTAGAGTTGGATTTATATGGTTTTATTTAAATAATTTCTTGACTTATGGAGGACTTCTATTTTTTTAGAAACTTTAGTCCAAACGTTAGGTCGAAAATTACATCAGTTTTCATCAGTATATATGTAATGACAATATGTATTATATAACATGCAATCTAAAAAATATTGTCGTTCAGTTTACAATTCCTTAATTACTTTGTAGAATAGGGAATAATTTAAAAGTATAAAAATATGTTATCAATTGAAAAAATTACTTCTTTTAGTTTTCTTTTAAAAAAAAAATAATTTCAATTATGCGAAAAATCAAAATAATTTAAAACTTTTTTGTTCCATAAAAAGACTTCACGGTAATGAATGCAAGATTTGCCTATATTTGATGGAAAAATTGGTGGATGGATTTGTTTATTATTTCTTAATATATATTTATTTCTTTCTTTCATTGAATATAAATTATGAAAAGAAACAGGAGAAGCAGTAATTTTGCATTTAAACATAAAACAAAGAACGTTAAATATACTTGCTTCGTAAATATTAAGAATATTCATGTTTAATAAAAAAGGCCTGGCATGAGTAAAACAATCTTAAAAATTTATAAGATGTGCTACATGCTTCTGTTGACAAAGCTAAGGCTTTAAAAATATTTTGTGGATACTACCACAAAGACGATGCTTTCAACCGGTCAAAGTGGCAAATTTCCTCAATAAGATCGTCTTCTTTAACGTCATTTGAATAGAATATTGCAAGTTGACGAGCTTTGTCATCTTGTGAAGAAGGGTCTTCAGACTGAAGTCAGATAAAGGAAAACTGAGAAGAAACCTTTTTCGCCACATTGAAACTTGACTAAATTTGTAGAATTATGTGGTCCAATGCCACGTTGCGTACTTTTTTGTATCGTCGTGGTAGTGGGCTGTATTTGATGGTTCCGCGTTTTACTTTAAATTCTGTTTCAAAGCCTAGGTTTCCAGCCATTAGCTTTGCTTCAGTCAAAATAAAATTCCACGACGAACGAATGCGACCTAAGTCAACTAGAAAAAATTGAATGAGGATGACTTCTTCTTCAATGGTGATTGACTACAACTGGAGACATCGACTAACATTACCAATATTTTTCAGTGTCTTATACCAAATGGTCAGAAGAACTACTGATTCAAATGACTTAAAACATTTGCCCAACGATTTCTTTTGATTCAACATGTCCGCAGTTGGTCAAGTTGATTAACGGTTCTATCCAGAGCAGCAATGATTTCTCGTGGATTTTTCACTAAAGGATTTACACCTACTATGTGGGCTGACCATCTAGTATCTGAGAGATTGTAAAGTGATAAAGCAGTCTTTTCGTGAAGAATTTTCCATCTTGTTGGGCTGCAACTAAAAAATACGTAAAGGGCTTGGATATTGCCAAAAAACGTATTGATCTCAGCGCAAGACTCAGCAGCATGAACTCCAGCTAAATTTGAACTATGAGCACCGCAAGGAATGTATAAAGAGAACAGATTTTTTTCCAGTATATTACCTTAGGCTCCATTATTGACTCCAGCCGTATTAAAACAATTTTCGTATCCTTGGCCTCTCAATTTTTGTAAATCGAGATTCACTTTCGCTAAAACGTTGCAAATAATATAAGCAATATTTGCACCTTTCTTTTTCTCCATATCTTCAACGCAGAGAAATCGTTCTTTAACTTCCCAAATTATCTTACCCGAGTTGAATCGCACAAATCGAAGAATAAGCGCGGTTTGTTCGGTGTGAGATACATCTGGGGTCCCATCGGTAATTATCGTAAAATATACGGCATCTTTTACTTCTTTCACAACTGCTGCTTGAACTAATGTAGCGCATTCACTGATGAATTCGTTTTGTGATTGCCAGGAGAGATAGTGAGCTTGCATTCTGGTTCCTTTAATTTGATGACGAGCAACTTTTCAAGATGATTCTTTAATGTTTCGTTGTGACGAGAAATAAGTTTAAGGCAACTTAAAAAGTTCCCTTTCTTGTTCTTCTCCATCGACGAATATTGCCCTAAAACAATGTTTTTTAAGTTAGTTAAATGTAGATTACAGAAATTCTGTAATACTAAAATAAAGAACTTATTCTTAAGTATTTAGAGTTCTGGCTTAGAATATTTACCTCTAAAGGATAAGTTTTGAGATGTTAAAAGTAAAATTGCATCTAAAATACAACGAAGTATTTCACGCCATCTGGCTACTTCTTTTTCTAGTGCCTTTTGGAACTCTGAGTCGATCCCGCGCTGATTGACAAGAGCTGAGTGCAAAGTCTTCCAATTGAGATAATGACTTTGATGAAATGGGTTGCTATGATGACTTTTGATACGATCACTCAATTTTCTCCAGTCAATTTATACCTCCATTCCAGCGAAGAAGAAAAGATTAATCCCCATAGGATCCGGAATTTTTACACCCAAATAAAGAATACGGGAAACAAAGTAGAGAGTTAGACAATGGGCTTCATATCAGATAATCTCGTTGAACTCCATTAGGCAATGCAATCAAAAGAACTTCTTTTGGAAAGGCCCTGTTATTAGAAACATCTCGTGGGAAATCATCAAGTAAAGTTGACAGACCTTTTTTGATTAACTCTTCTTTTTCTCTTTGCTTAAGAATCGATGGCCAGAGTGCTGGGTCATTTTCAACGCCTGAATTAAAAAAAAGTTAATTAAAACCTAATACTTAATTAATTATTTAACTATTTTGAATTATTGTTTGTATAAAAACCTTTATTTTTTTCGGGTTTTAATTATTTGTTAAACTGCCGTCTGTTTCATTTTCCACTGAACTAAGAGAATGTAGATCAACATCATCATAATACGATGATTCCATTGTTTGTTCTGATTTATTTAATTCCGCCGACTTAAAAAATGTTTCATTATTTTTCTTAAATTGCTTCGGAAAAAAAAGAAATATATTTATTGACCTCTAAAATATATTTATTGATTTTTACTAACTCACCTTCAAATCAGTATTTTGATAAGTAGCCTTGTAAAACCAACTTAATTCTTGGAGCGTTTGTTTGTTTTTTTCACAGTCTTTTGCTCTTTTGGAAGCCAATGCCCGATTTTGGGCACCAGAAAGTTTTTTACGATTCATTAACAACAGTTACTGTAAATAAAAGTACGCATCAATAAAATAATAGCCAAGTCAAATACGCAAACTCATCAAAAAATAATAAACTCAAAAAGCATATGTCATAAATCAATATTTCAATTGTTAAATAAAAACAAATCGTAAATATGAAATACCATAAATAAGTCGATCATAACAAATAGTTGAAAAATAATTACTTTTACTAAATTCTGAATAAAATTATTTCTAAACTGTATTCACAGTTTGCTATCGCTAATTATCAACGTTTGTGTTTTTTTTACTTTAGTCTGACGAATGCAAAAATCTCAAGGGACATTTTTAGTTTAATAGCGTTTAGAATACGAAATCAATAATGAATTTCGTATTTTTTTAAAACTTTTCGAGGAATAAAAAACAATAATATAACGAAAGTAATATATACATTTTAATTATAGAATTTTAAGAATAAAAAAACTATTTTATTTTACTTCGGCATCTGGCGCCCTATGGACATCTGCCGCCCTGGACAAACTGTTCTGGTGGCCCCATCTCTCGACGCCCTGTTTATATATATATATATATATATATATATATATATATATATATATATATATATATATATATATATATATATATATATATATATATATATATATATATATATATATATATATATATATATATATATATATATATATATATATATATATATATATACATATATATATATATATATATATATATATATATATATATATATATATATATATATATATATATATATATATATATATATATATATATATATCGATATATATATCCCAGTAAGCACAGAACGTTTTTAAAACGTTTAAGAAACCTATGAAAACGTTTTTTAACGTTTTTTAAACGTATATATATATATATATAATATATATATATATATATATATATATATATATATGTGTGTGTGTGTGTGTGTATATATATATATATATATATATATATATATATATATATATATATATATATATATATATATATATATATATATATATATATATATATTTGAATGAAACAAAAAAAAATTAAAATAAAGTTTTAAAAACTATTTTAGAATTCGTCTAACAAAACATAAATATTTAACGGAACTCATCGAACAAAACATAAATAAGTTAGTATTTACAGACATAAAAAATATATATAATTAAAAGGGTTACTATAGTGAATATGTCTTAATAGCTTAAAAACAGTTTATTACTATTCATACCGACCGTTATAATTTTTGAAACATGAAAAGTATAAAACTTCGAGACATATATCTGAAAACTTTGAAACATGACTAACGTACTAATAATTAAAAAAGAGTCATAACAAAAGTACACAAAATATTAAAAAAGTTAAAATTGATTAATAATGAGCCCGGATTTTTTTTTAAAGTTCCATTTTTTGTTATTTCAACTTTTCAGTCTAACTTTCGGAATGGTTTGTAAGTTGTTTTTTTTTTAATTTTGTTATAAAAATTCGCATAATCTTTTTAAACTTGCCTGGTAACTAAAGTATCTTAAACAAATGAAGTAAAAAAAGTAGCAATTAAATTAAAAAAGAAAGTTTACGGATAAATGCAGTATGTGAAGTACTTATATTTAATAATTACACGTATAATTAGAATTTAAGTACTTTAAAGAGTTCTTACAGCCATATTACAGAGCATTGAGGAGGATCATTAAACTAGAAAGTTCACACCCCCTTCCTTACTAAATATCACAAGGCAGCCACAACTTGAATTGAATCACAAACTTCTTGGTTCTTAAGTAATATATTATACTTACTAAATTTATATTTAAGTATATTTGTATATTTCTTTACAAATAGCGAAACATCAATTATTAAGAAAAATGAACAATCAATAACTTTTCTTTGATAAGAGAAAAAAACAAAATAATTTATTTTAATAAAAAAAAATTAAAATCATAACACAACTAATACTTATTTATTTATAAAAAAGAACAAAAAAATGATTTTTTTAAAAAGTGTTTGAGAAAAAAAAAATCATTCAAAATAATTACTTTTTTATTATTAATATTTAATTACTTTATATAGACACTTCCATTTTAACTTAATTCTATTTTTAACTTGCGCGTTTAACGCGCAACAACTTTATCAAATATTTGCCCATTTAAACTGTAAATTAAACTATAGCTATTTTGTATGAAAGGCGTTAGTGAAAAGAATAAAATCAGCTAAAAAGTTTTGAGTTTATCTAAAAGAGGGCAAACTTATTACTGAAAATGCCACTAAACTTACGTTACAGGAAAAACAAGGTAAAAAAATTGTTTCAACTATAGGGTCAGATTTCTGCGAATCAGTAAAGCGGTTTGTATTAGAATTTTTCACAAGACCTTAAGAACTCTATTCTAATTTAAAAAATATATCCGAGGTGACCGGCTAAAGAAAATAAACTTGTTTTTTTTATTACTATTTAACTTACGTTACATCACCTACGTTACCGAGGTGAGGTTTTATATCTATTACCAAGAACTAAAGTTTCGTAACAAAAAAATTGCAAAAGTTTTGAACTAATTCATCAAAAATAATTGACAAAAAAAATTTTAAAAATTGTTGGCACTCTTTTGCTCTTGGTCTTGGTGCTTAGGAGTGAGAGGGATATATGTGATTGTATATGTTCATGTATACTTGGTCGTTTAAGACAGGAGGGAAGAGGTTGAAGATTGACAAACATAGGGTGATGTACTTTATGTATGACCACCCTAACTGCATGTACAAACAATTTTTTTTTACTAAAACAAAAACATAAAAAGTTTTAACTAATAGTTTTATGTTAAGAGAATAGCAAATTATTCTTTTCTTTTTTTTTTTAATGTCTAAATAAAAATATTAATACAATTCTTACTTTTATTTATTTATAAAAATCTGTCAACTAAAATAAGCATACATTAACAAATAAAAAAAGCAATATAAATAATATAAATTTACATTAAAAAAAAGATTTTTATTCTAAATTCTCATAAATTAAAAAGTTTCACTTAAAACCTTTTCAACTCGACGAAATAAGAATTACGTTATGACGTAATTCTTATTTCGTCGTTTTGTAAACAAAAACTTAACGAAAAAGCGCCATGATTTTAGTAATGACGTAATTTATTTTGTAAACAAAAATAATAACGTAATAATAATAATAATAATAATATAAATAATAACAAAATAAAAAACAATTAAAAAAATAATAAAGTAAAAAAAAAATTATTTAAAAAAAATTTAAAAATTAAAAAAAATTAAAAACAAATAAAAACAAAAATAATAACATAATGACGTATTTCATTTTGTAAACAAAAACTTAACAAAAAAGCGCCAGAACTTTAGTAAAAGCGTGTAATTATTACCTTACGTTACACAAATTTGAAATAAAAATGTGCATTAACTTAAGGCCGTTTTCCACAAGACAAAATGTTCGCGCGAAGCGAATTTATTGATTTCTACTTTTTTTTCGTTGTCAACAATAAAAATGGCAGCAATAAGTTTACGCTGTATGTTTAACTAAAAGCAGTTATTACTTTTTTTGCATACTTTCTACTTTGAAGCATGTGAAAATTCTTTCGTTGAATTAACATTTTGTTAAATTAATATTTCTGTCTTTATATGTAAGATGTAATATCATTTTGTAATATAATCAATTAATAAAATATATGCAGCAAAAGAAGCTCAAAATATAGAACCAATTACATTAACTTTATTATTATTATTATTATTATAGTTGTAGCCGTAAATTTACATAGAATGTACACATACAGCGAGCAGGGGAAACACCCCACTATAAACAACCAGTTTTATAAATATTTGTTCCAAACTTTTTCCACAACCAGGAGTCTAGTCTATTTTTGAAAGAAAGTACAGTGGAGTACAAAGTTATTTGCTCTGGTAGATTGTTCCAGTATTTTGCTGATCTATTATACAAATGATTATATCTTGGAAGACAGTTTAGAACATACTCACGCCTTATTTTAGAATGGTGACCACGAGACACGGAGTTAATATATTTTGGTAGATATTTATCATTAACTATATCAAAACGATGTATTAATTTAAAAATTTGGATTAAATCGCATCGAAGGCGTCGAAACTCAAGAGATGGTAGGTTTAATCTTTTTAGCCTTTCGCAGTATTAAAGATGCCTCAAGCTGTAAGCCCATTTTGTAGCTTTGCGTTGAACAGATTCAACCAAAGCCATATCAGCTTTTAAAAAAGGAGCCCAAATGGACACTCCATATTCAAGATGTGGTCTTATAAATACTTAACTTTATAAATACTTATAAATACTTATGTGGTCTTATAAATACTTAACTTATAAATTACTTAACTTTAGTAAAAAAAAAATTATCAAAAGCAGATAGTGTAAATAAGAATGATATTCGGACATGATATCATGCGAGAATCCAAGTTGCAATACTTGGTTCTGAAAAAAAAAATTTTACCGAAAAATTTTATGGGTTCAGATTTTTTTTTTTTTTTTTTGTAAAAAATGTAAAACTTAAATCTTCTATTATTTCTGTATACTATAAAAAATATATAAACATATATACTTTTAGATATATAAAATATTAAATTTATTAAATATATTTTATATTGAATGGTTTTAACAAAATTTCTACCAAAAGTATTTTTTTTTTCTTTTGGTTTTCATATTTTCAAATACAATTAAAAAAAAAAAAAAAAAAAAAAACATTTAGCTGAATAATAACAAAATTGATTTTCTAAAACAGCAAACCATAAAATTGTTAAAAATGTATTTGACTTCTATTATAAAGACTACCGTTACATATTTTCCTAGTAATTAGTGACCATTTCTATCATGGTTTAATACACTGTTTACTTAGGAGGTTAAACAGACAAAGTTTTAAATAGTTTACTACCTACAGCCGTATTCATGTCTCTCCGTTAAATTAACGGTGAGTTCAAGTGACGGTTAAGAAAAAAGTTGTTAACGGGCCGTTACGAAACGGATAAAGAAAAATAGCATTCTTATCCTCCCGTTAAGTCACCGTTTATTAACCGCTCTGTCCTTCCGTTAGCCCGCTTCGATAACTAACTTTCGTGCTATTTTTACATAGCATCCAAATGTTGCGATGCCATTACAGCGTGATGGCATCGCAACATCACAGCGTGATTTTTTTTAATGTTTGCTACGTAATTTTTTAAACTTAATTTAAACAATTTAAAGTAATAAGCGTTTAGACTTGTACTAAGGACTAATAACCGTTTTAGACTTGGACTAAGTAGTTATTTTATATTTTTAAATAGACGATATTCGAAATTTTTTAAATTCCGGAATAATAAGAAACTTGAATCTTTTGTGCGTATTTTACACAAAAAAGTAGATATAGAATAAATAAAATAAACAAACAGCATAAGAAGTAACATTAGATTTTGTTTATATTAGTTTAATTATTTGCTTAATATAGCTACATCACTTTCTTGTGTTGTCATTGGCCAATCACTCAACCAAATTTGAAAAGTGGAAAAAAGCTATTTGTGAAATTTATAAATGTTCAAAAGAAGATCTCAATTGCTGCTGTTCTGAACCATTTAAACTTATTCCTTTTCCTGCTGAAGAAAGAGACCCAGAGCATCGATCCATTTGAAAAAAAATTGATAAATCGGGTAAATTCAGACAAATCTCAATGGGAAGCTTCTAATTACAGTAGATTTTGTTCGGAACATTTTATTCATGAAAAATTTGAATATCTTACTGAACTATTGGGATACAACGCATTAAATAAAATAATAATTTGTTCCTTCTATTTCATCTAATTGTAATCGACCAATAAATAAACGAAATAACAACATAATTTTTGATTCATTTTCAATGAAAACAGCCACTATATCCGCCTCTACTTGTAATAATGCATACGTGATTACAGCAGTTAATAAAATAAATGCTAAAATGTTTAAAAAAACAGTTTAAAAAACTCTACTTTTAAAACTAAAATCCAAACAAACATTAGCGAAAAAATTTTGGTAATGCATAATAAAGTTTTTCCTGTTTTTTTTTCAGAAATATTGACAGAGAATCTTGTTACTTTAGCATCTAAAAGTCAGTTTGTATCAAATACTGAAAAAAAATATTTAATTAAATTCAATTATTTTGACTCAAACGGTCTTTTTAATTTTAACACTCTATGCTTTAATTATCAACTGTTAATTAGAAGTTTAGAAGTTATAAGCTGAAAATATTAAACTTCAAAACAAAATTATAATGTAACAAACTAAGCCTTTATCTGTATATAAGAAACTTCTATCAAACAGTAATGTAAAACTCTATGCAAATCTTGGTTCTTTAGAGTTATTTAATAAATTTTATGACTATATTAGCCCTTATGTTAAAAAACAATTTAATTCTGTTTCTGTTAAAAGAACTGTCAGTAAAACACTAAAAAATGTAGGACGTGCAAAAAAATTATGTTCACAAGATGAGTTTCTGCTGACTTTAATGAAACTTTTATTAGGATCATTTAAAAAAGATTTTGTTAGTCGTTTTTTTTTAATATTTCTATTAGCACTTGTTCTAAAATAACTCATTCTTGGATTAGAACATTAGCAGAAGTTTGTAAGCATCTCATATTTGTACCAGATCTTGGCACGTTAAATGCAACAAGCCCTTTATGATTTAAAAAATATAAAAAATTGGAGGCTATTATTGACTGTTCAGAAATTTTCATTCAAACCCCAAAAAATTTGGAACTGTAAAGTGTTACTTAGTCTGAATATAAACACCACAATACTTTAAAGTTTTTAATAGGTGTTGCTCCTAATTCTTTTATTGTTTATATCAGAAGGTTATACCAGTCGCATTTCCGACAAAGCGTTAATTATAGATTGTGGTTTTCTTGATTTATTATCTCCTTTTTCTATAGTTATGGTAGACAAAGGGTTTATTTTGCATGATGAATGCACTGTTCGACATTTATTTTTTACTGTACCACCTGGTCAGCGAGGAGCATCACAAATGACTCCTTTTGAAGTTAAGAAAACAAGTTCAATTGCTAAAATTAGAACTCTTGTGGAACAAGTTATTGTAAGATTAAAAGCATTTTATCTTATAAGTAATGAATTATATAAAATATGTATATATATATATATATATATATATATATATATATATATATATATATATATATATATATATATATATATATATATATATATATATATATATATATATATATATATATATATATGTATGTATATGTATACATATATATATATATATATATATATATATATATATATATATATATATATATATATATATATATATGTGTATATGTATACATATATATATATATATATATATATATATATATATATATATATATATATATATATATATATATATATATATATATATATATAATATATATATATATATATATATATATATATATATATATATATATATATATATATATATATATATATATATATATATATATATATATATATAGTGTTTATATATATTGTGTGTATATATATGTGTGTGTGTATGTGTGTGTGTAAAAGAAAAATGTCCGATAACAAATTAAAAATATTATTCAAACTTAAATGAGTAAACTATATTTGTTAGTTAAACTTAAACAAGTTTAAGTTTAAATAGTTTTTTTCATTTGTTACCTGAAATTTTTCCTTCTACACATATACACACGCACACAAACACACACACAAACACACAAATATATATATATATATATATATATATATATATATATATATATATATATATATATATATATATATATATATATATATATATATATATATATATGTATTTATATATATGTATATATATATATATATATATATATATATATATATATATATATATATATATATATATATATATGTATATATATGTATTTATATATATATATATATATATATATATATATATATATATATATATATATATATATATATATATATATATATACATTTGTTTAATAAAAAGTAGAAAATAATACTTTTGTTTCACGAATATTATTATATACTACATACTTTGATTTAATTTAAGTCAATCATTAGTTCATCTAAATCTTTAATACTGTTTAAAGTTGTTGAAGTTTCTAATCCGTCATCCAGCTATTGGATGATATTTTTATTTATTTACAAACCTATTTTTAGAGAAAAATTTGTATATTTTTAAATATTTTATTCTTGTTTTAAGAGCAAACTTTTAAAAATTGCAAAGTTGATATTAGATATCTTAATAACTAATTTGTTTATCTTATCACTTATTTCCACTTCGCATTGTTTATATCTACTTTTTTTTATGTAAAAAACGCACGGAAAAATATTTCTCGCCTTTTAAAATTAATTTCAAATATCGTCAATTAACCTTTTTATATTTTTAGAGCTAAAAAGTATATAAACACCATCACAAAATTGAATTGGAGTTACATAAAACTATAAAATGGAGTATAGTATAATGTATAAACCTAAGTTTTCAGTTTTTTTCTGTCGAACAATAATTGTTAACAATTGTTGTTAAAATTATTATTATGGTGAATTGTTCTCCATGCTGTCTTGCTTTTGTCAGCGACCATTAACAAATTAATTTTTTTTTTAAACAATAACAAATCATAGCCAAACATTTAAAACTGTTTTGTTTTTTTTGTGCTTATAAATTTCTAATGAACACGACTCCACTCAAAATTTTATCTTTTCTGTTTATTATCATTAAATGTTCATGTTCCAACAACTGTTTACATGGTTTCACATCACTTTCCAAAACTTCAATGTTTTACTTCGATGTTTAACTCCTATCAACCTAAATCACTTATAATTTAAGTAAAAAATGAAATATTAATTCTGACTCTAATTTTAAAACTTCTCTGCATTGCACGTGCATGTACAAATTATTCAATTAACCTTAAGTTCATACTAAACATCAAAGAACGTTTCATATATTTGTAAAAAAAAAAAAATCATTTTTTAACTTATCGCGTAATTTTAAAGAATTCAAAGAGTTTTTCAAAAATTTTGATTTGAAGTTGGAGTTGTACTTAAAAAATTTTAACAACTGGATTCGAAGTCGTTACTTTTTTTTTACTTCTCCACACTTCTGCTAGACATTATATATCTATACGTTTTATATATATAATTATATATATACACCAAGTTCTACAATTCATTTTTAAAACTAAACATGAACTCTCTCCTATTGTATTTTAGTCTTACTTTAGTGAAATCTCGCACAAGTATCCTACTAAATTTTCAATTAATAACTTTATTGTTCCAAAAACTAATTCAAAACTAAATTCTTACAAAATCAAATACCGCGGACCGTTTCTATGGAAATATTTTTCGAAAATTAATCACAAAAAATAATAATGTTCAACACATCTCTTCGAAAAAATTTAGAAAAGAATGTAAGAATCTCTTATAACAAAAAGACTTTGATTTAAAATATCTCTTTTAAAAATAATACACAAATAATATAAGGAATTGTCCACAAATTACGCAACGCAAAGCTTATTTTAAAAATATAAGTAGGAGAACATTTTGCTCTTTTGAGCGGCGGCTTTCGCGGGGTTATTTATACATGGATTAATTAAAGACTCTGCGAGGGAAAACTTTTAACACTTTTTCTTTTGTCTATTAGATAAATTTTGCGTTACGTAATTTATGGACGATCCCTAAATTATCTGAAAAAATAGTTATTGACGCTACTTCTCTTTTGTTGCAATTTTAATCTAATTTAATTTTTTGTTAAAAAATTTTAATACTTTTAAATAATTGTTTATCTTTGATATAATGCGTTATATTTCAACACTAATATTTATATTATGTTATTAGTTATATTGTAACTAACCTATTAAAAATTCTTGTTATGTACTTAGCTACTCTTCATTTTTTATTACTGACGGTTTTTTAGTGTAAATTTTATGATGGGGCTCACAGTGGACCAGAGAGACCGCCAGGTTTTATGTCGTGTCAATTAAACGAAACTTTTTTTATTTAATTATATTTATCTTATAATAATAGAAAAAGTTGTTTTTAAAACCTAAACCAAGTGCTAAGGGTCCCAAATAAGGCAAAATGGGTATTAAAGTAGTTTTACACCCACCATTTTTATGATTGATTATGATCGAAAATATTATACTGATTTGAAATCATATAAAAACATAGGTCTGAAAGTTTCTTCCAAGTGGTCTGTTTTACATTTGAAATTAAAAATATATGTATTAAAATGTAAAAAGCGAACATTTAAAAAAAAATTTTTTTTTGCGCCTTTAACAATTTAACGGAAAAAAGTAACTATTATAGCGTTAAGAACTGGTTTTTATTATCATTTATTTCTAATTGCTGAAAAATGTTCGTCTTATTATTATAAAGAAGATATTTAGAAGCTGATATTCTTTAAATGATGGAAATAATAGTAGACATAAATTTTTGTTTATAAAGAAACCTTAACTAACAATAACAAGTTAAGCAACATTGAAAATGTAATTCTTTTGCATAGCAGATAAAATCCAGGGTGCGCGATTATATAAAGAAGTTTAAATAATCGCAAAAAAAATGGCATAATTATTGATTTATATGTGGATATTGTGCTTCTATAAAATTTGTCAAATATTATATATATATATATATATATATATATATATATATATATATATATATATATATATATATATATATATATATATATATATATATATATATATATATATATATATATACATATATATATATATATATATATATATATATATATATATATATATATATATATATATATATATATATATATATATATATATATATATATATATATATATATAATGTTTGGAGCCAGGTCTAAATCTTTAATTAGTGTAAATTCAACGGTAAAAGAACTGATAAAGTTGTTTGTTTATCTAGGATATTCTCTGGATGTGTGCTATCCTAATATTATATGTTCTGGATGTCAGAGAAATCTCTACCTACGAAAGGCTGGAAAACCTCCTCGAGGTTCATGGGGAGAAAAGATTGCCAAAGTATGTAAACATTGAACAAAATATCAAGTCCATTTAACGTATATATATATATATATATATATATATATATATATATATATATATATATATATATATTATATATATATATATATATATATATATATATATATATATATATATATATATATAATATATATGTATATATATATATATATATATATATATATATATATATATATATATATATATATATATATATATATATATATATATATATATATATATATATATATATATATATATATATATATATATATATATATATTATATATAATTTATTCAAGATTGAATGGAGGATGATGACAAGAACAGCTTCATCTTCAACAATTCAAACCGAGGAAGTTCCTAATATATCAAACTCAAGCATGTCTTCCAAATTATGTAGTATATGCTTTTCAACTATTGCAAAAGGATATTTACACAACTGCTCTTCTTTATCTGCAGTAGAGAACCTGATCTTATAAGCATTAAGTCTAGGAAATATGCAAGCAGAGGAAGTTGCATCTGGTATATTAAAAGCAAAAATGGAGACTGACAAAATTGCGAAAGGGGAACAATTTATTTTGTCTTCTGGCGGAAACCCATTGATGATTACAGTTGGATGTCCTGATAACAAAGCAAATAGAAGGTACATATACCAGGTATACCGGTATGAAATGAGCGTTTTTTGTGAAAATAAAACACTAATTATTAATGGGAAAGTATAAAACATTTTATTCAAAGTATTGGCCATTGTTTTCTACAAATTTTGACCACCTTTCTGGCAATTTGTGGACACCACGCCTATAAAATTGTTCGTTTTTTAAAGCAAACCAACCAGACACCCAATTTTCGACCTCCTCGTAGGAATCAAAGTGCTGCTCAGCCAATGCGTGTCCCATCGATGAAAACAAATGGTAGTCGGAAGGAGCCAAGTCTGGTGAATACGGCGGGTGGGGTAGCAGCTCCCAGCCAAGTGTTTTGATTGTATCCTGAACCGGTTTTGCTTTGTGTGCAGGTGCATTGTCATGGAGCAAAATTACCTTGCTGTGTCTTCTGGCCCATTCTGGTCGTTTCTCGATCAATGCATGGTTCAAATTGATCATTTGTTGTCGGTAGCGATTAGTATTGACGGTTTCACCAGGTTTTAGGAGATCGTGGAACACCACACCTTTCTGGTCCCACCAAACACACAGCATTGTCTTCTTGCCGAATCGATCTGGTTTTGCAGTCAATGTTGATGGTTGTCCTGGATTAACCCAAGATTTTTTCCGTTTAGGGTTCTTAAAATAAATCCATTTTTCATCGCCACTAACAATCCGATGCAAAACCGATTTTCTTTCGTGTCTTCGAAGCAAAATTTCACAAGTGTTTTTTCGGTTTTCCATCTGTCTTTCATTCAATTCATGTGGCACCCATTTTCCACACTTTTGGATCTTTCCTATAGCTTCTAAACGGTCAGAAATTGTTTGTTGTGCAACATTTAACATTTCTGCCATTTGCTTTTGACTCAAAGTGTCATCTCCATCCAATATCGTTTGCAATTCGGCGTCTTCAAACTTTTTTGGTGGTCTTCCACGTTCTTCATTTCTCACATCAAAATAATTATTTCTGAACCGTTGAAACCATCTTTTGCATGTTGCTTCTGATAGAGCATGATCACCATATGCCTCGACAAGCATTCGATGCGACTCTGCAGCACTTTTCTTCAAATGAAAACAAAAAATTAATGCTTTCCGCAAATCATCAATTTCCGGTACAAAATTCGCCATTTTTAACACAATGAAAAAATATGATGTTGTCTGTTCAATGACTTGATGTATACTAAATATGTTTCACAGATGTCATAGCAAACAAACAAAAAAAAATAAAGGCTCGTTCACAACAAATGTTCCCTATCGAGACATTTGTATCTTGACGCTCACTTCATACCGGTATACCTGGTATACTGTTGAGTACATATTTATCAAATGATAAGACATTAAGATTTTGTTCATTTTATACCTAGGTCAGTTAAACAAGTATCTCTTCAGATGATTAAAGAACTTCAAATAGTCTTAAAACTTTCCCTTAATAAAACGAGGCTATTGATATCTACTCTTCGAAAAGAAATGCGAATTAAGTTGGCTGTAGAAAACAACATTTTTGTAAAAACGAGTGACTTAGAAGAGTCTTTATCGTATTTTTATCTAGTAGAAAAGGTGGCAATTATATCTTTTAGTATTGAAAATTAATTATAGCATTGATAGTACCGGTGGCACTTCTATAAAAGACCTTGTTTTTGTTCAAGACACATCTAGTTTTATTCTTGATTTAATTATTCAACGTTGTCTTGATCTCCAGTCAGCATTTGTTTGTATTTCTATGGATGCAGAAGGTGGTTTCATGAAGGTCATTGTAAATGTTTTCAATGTTGATGAAAATACTACTTCAAATTTAAACTTAAATAGTGGTGTACAACGATGTCAAATCCTCTCCATAGTTGAAGATGTGCAAGAATCTAACTTCATTTTAAGAATAATTTTAGAGAAACTCAATTTAAAAGATGTTAAGTTTTCAGCAGCTTTTGAATTGAAATGTGCTAATGCAGTTTTTGGAATATCAAGTCATGCAGGTAAAAAAGCTTGTCTATGGTGTGAAGGAGACTCAAGTGAAGTTTGTGGTAAACTGCTAACACTTGGAAGCCTTGACTATTGGTATCAAAGATACACTGTAGAAAATAGCTCAAAGAAATCTATTATGAAACATTTTATGAATGTAATATATCCAAGAATTTTCTACCTCGACGAAGATCTAGATACACTAACCCAACATTTAGTACCTCCCCCTGAAATACAAATCCTGATAGGAATAGTAACAACACTGGGATGTTTATTATTGGATCTCTGGCTAGGTTTTGATATTTTTTTAAAAAATATCAGTGTTCTACAAAGAAGATATCAAGGTAGAGGTTGGGATGGGAATAATTTAAACCAGATACTAAAGTGTGTTGATGAGTTGGAAAGAGTTGTTTTGTATGAATATCCTGATCTTCTGCCAATTGTTCAATGTTTAAAAGAATTTAAGATTGTAAAAGATTCTTGCTTTGGTAGAACACTTGAGCTTGGGTATCAGCAAGCCATTCTAAAATTTAAGAACTCCTTTTTATCTGCTCAAGAAATCGCAGATATTTTCGGAAAAAAACTTTCAATTAGTTGGAAAGTACATTTACTCTTGTGTCATATGCAACCTTTTGTTGAACATCACAAATGTGGTTTGTCTAAGTTTGCTGAACAATGTGGAGAGTCAGTTCACTCAAATTTCAAACCAACGTGGAAAAGGTTCAAAAAACAAGTTGCAAACAAAGAGTATGGTGGAAGGCTCCTCTCTTCTGTTATTGATTTTAACGGAAGAAGAGTTAGTAATGTTTAGGTGCTTTATGTTCCATATGTCAGTAGTATTTGTAAATATTAGTCATTTTATTGTTTTAAAATTTATTCAATTCATTTAAATTAAAAAATAAAGATTGATAAATAAATAAAAAAAAAAGAGTTTTATATTTTTTACTAGATTCTAGGGGCACTGTACCTGACTAATGAAAGATAATAAATTTTAAATAATTTTACAAATCTAAACTTCTAAAATTAATTCAGTGAGAGAAAAAAAAATTTAAATTAAAAAAAAAACTTAAATGGGTTTTGGGCACCTCAATCTTCCCTTTTGCCCCATTTGGGACCCTTAGCACTTGGTTTAGATTTTAAAAACAACTTTTTCTATTATAATAAAATAAATATTAATAAATAAAAAGAGTTTCGTTTAATTGACACGACATAAAACCTGGCGGTCTTTCTGGTCCACTGTGGGCTTGATGATAAGACAATTTATGTCTTCTATGCAATATATATATAATATATATATATATATATATATATATATATATATATATATATATATATATATATATATATATATATATATATATATATATATATATATTTATATATATATATATGTATATATATATATATATATATATATATATATATATATATATATATATATATATATATATATATATAAATATATATATATATATATATATATATATATATATATATATATATATATATATATATATATATATATATATATATATATATATATATATGGTATTGTGGTTTATCCTCCTCCGGCTAGTTGCCATATAGAGGCCACATTACCACGGTACCGCAAAGACAGGTTCGGCTCCCCAAGGAGTGTCATAACCCGCTCTACGGACCGAGAATAAAGTGAGTTTAGGAGGAACGAAGATATGTTAGGGTGAAAGACAGAAGTAGTCGTGTTAGAAAGACAGCATAGAGACAGCGGAAAGGATTGCACTCGATGTTAGGAGGTGCAATATATAACACTAATACTAAAATGTAGTTTAGATGTGTTTTTTTTCGTATATATATATATATATATATATATATATATATATATATATATATATATATATATATATATATATATATATATATATATATATATATATATATATATATATATATATATACATATATAAATATATACGAAAAAAAAACACATCTAAACTACATTTTAGTATTTGTGTTTTGTAATTATATATATATATATATATATATATATATACATATATATATATATATATATATATATATATATATATATATATATATATATATATATATATATATATATATATATATATATATATATATATATATATATATATATATATATAGGTATTGTGGTTTATCCTCCTCCGGCTAGTGGCCATATAGAGGTCATACTACCAAGGTACCGCAAAGACAGGCTCGGCTCCCTAAGTAGCGTCATAACCCGCTCTACGGACCAAGAGTAAAGTGAGTTTAAGAAGAACGAAGATATGTTAGAGTAAAAGACAGAAAAAGTTGTGTTAGAAAGATACCGTAGAGAAACCGGCCAGGATTGCACCCGATGTTAGAATGTGCAATAAGTTGAAACAGGGACTAAAAAAACACAAATACTAAGTTTAGATATGTTTTATATATATTAAAAATAAGTTTAGATATGTTTTAGATATTTATTTTTTTTTATTTATATATATATATATATATATATATATATATATATATATATATATATATATATATATATATATATATATATATATATATATATATCACTGAAGATTTTTTTAAAATTATATAATATCGCAATAGCAATGTTTGGTCGCATACATTTGATCAACGTTAGGTTTAGATTGTAAAAACAATCAAACTTTTTCGATGTTTTTACATACATTGAAAAAACGTTGGTTTATATACATTGAATCAATGTCGAAATGTATGTATTTGATCAACGTTGGATTTAGATTGTAAAAACCAACCAAACCCTTTCAATGTTTTTACATACATTGAAAAAACGTTGGTTTATATATATTGAGTCAATGTCGAGATATATACATTGGATCACCGTTGGGTTTAGATTGCAAAACCAATCAAATTTTTTCGATGTTTTTACATACATTAGACTAATGTAAATTTGCAAGACGTTTTTAGCTTCGTCGGTTCTAATTTTATCATTAACCAAATGACGTTGGATCAACGGTGGTCTTGCATAGGAAAAAAGAGCTGACGTTTGCGATGGTTTCACATACGTTGGCCCAATGTAAGGCTGGGTAGAGAGTTATGAGGTAGCTGCTAATTGGAACAATAAATCTCAAACTGAATAGTTCAAAAAACAACTTTAAACAATTTTTAGTTAAAGAAAATATGTGCATATCACCACACATTAGAAATAGGGTGGAAACAAGGAAAAAAAACCAAACACCCTAATCACAAAATACAAACAGGGAAGAAAGCAAAATAAGAACGACCTGCATTTATATTTTTGACACTTCAAATATCTTTTCATTATAATTCATGCTTTCCAATCGGTTTAATTATATGCAATCGTCATCAAAAGTAATACTATTCAAAAAAGCAAAAAGAAGCAAATTTAAAAATTGAACATGAATCTATACCAACAGATGTTGATTTTATACCAAATGATTTTTTATAAAACTATTACTTTAACTAATTTTAAACTATTTTTACAAAAAAATAGGATTTTGTTGCAGTTGAATTTGATGGAACCGGACGTGTTCCTTATCTCAACAAACAGTTAGCCATGCTACCTCGTGCTCGATTGCACTGATGACTGTGCGCTGTGGTAATTATAATGGTAGCTGATTAAATTTTGCTTTGAAGCAGCCGACGCTGATAACAAAGACAAATTTGTTAAGTAGTGCATTTCATGTGTACGCAAAGTAATTGTTGAAAAAGTTGAAGTGAACATTCTATTACAATTTCACAATAAAAGCACTACTTTTTTAAGTAATATTCGACTGTTGAAGCAAAAGAAATAATAGCATTGCATTTCTTATGCAAATAAACTGGCTTGCCTCTACGAGTTATCAAGTATTTGAAATTTTGCATCAGGTTTAAAATTGACGGAATGTTGATTTTAAAACCAATAGGAAAAATCCCAATTTTTTGTTTGATTTAATAGTGGAAATGTTGAAATTTCAAATCGATACCTTGGTGAAACTTGCTGAAGTTATTTATTTAGTTTACGGTTAGGAATTGTGTTGAAATTGATTTAATAAGTATTATTTATACAAATATGATTTTTATGCTTGTGGTTTTTTTTGTTTGTTTGTTATTTTTTGAGAAAATATTGGGGTTTTCAAATATTTTTTTTACAACTTACTATTTTTGTCTTTTTGGATTGCCCCTTTCTAATGTTTTCAATATATCTATACTAAAAAACTATTAAATATATTAAAATTAAATAAATATTAGATTATTAAGTATATTAAAATTAGTTAAACTGTAAACTATTACAAAGGTTTCTTAACTACTGCTTTACTTTGAATAAATTAACCTAAACATACTAAAGAGACACTGTTTAAAGGTGAATTATTTACAATGGATAAAATAGATTTAACTGATCTCTAAGTTTTTATTATTAAATAAACTTGTTCAGTACAAGGTCTATTAACAACACTCTCTTCCATCGACCTAAGTCAGCATTTTTAGTTTTTTAAACTTATTTTTTATTTATTTGAAAATAAGATCTGCATTTCTGAGTGCTCGATTTTCTAATTACTCATTTATACAAAATATTAGGCAAAAAATGCCTTTAACCTAAAAATTAAATGAAGTTAATTTTTAAACAGTTAGGTTTTAATAAAACAAAAATATTTTTATTTCAGATTTTTTTGATGATTCTAATGATCATTTGTTGATACAAAACCATTTAATTGCAACGTTTGCGTCATGGGAAAAAAGATACTTTGTGATTTTTAAAGTAAAACCTTTGTCATACTCATATTATTGGGCAAGTGTTATTCATTTTACTATTGGAGAGAATATGTGGTGTTATGGAGATAGAAACCCTGGTGTCTGGTTTTTACCCGATGGCTCTGGAAAATTGCGCATTTATTCTTCGTTAAACGGAAATCCAAACGAGTATATTGACTCCCCTTCTCTATTACCAAATAGCTATTCTACTATTCAAGTATGTCAAGATATTATTGACGGAAATTATTTATTTGCAGTATATGTAAATGGAACATTTGTTCAGAGCATTGTTAACAAAATGCCTCAAGCTTTTGATAACGTTCTTGTTTACGCTGCAGATCCATGGCACGATGCAAAAGATGGTTACATCAAAGACCTCAAAGTTGTAACTGGAAATGGAAGTAACTAATTAATTTTTGAAATTTTTTATGATTGTTTAACATACTTTGTATCAACAAAATTCTTTTTAGTTAACTAATTTTTTTATACTCATACTACAATGATTCATATCCTTTCAAAAACTATTTTTATAATTACTAGCTCTGGAATGCTTGTCTAAAATAAGTTTGGAATATTTCATTAAATAAAATAAGGTTTAACAATTTTATCAGAACCAATAATTTTATTATTTTGCTTTTAAATCTTTATAAAAAATTCATTAAATATGCTTTAACATTCTTATCCGCTTATTAAGTTTTGTAATCCGCTAAGTAAAACACTCAATTCAAGATTTTATGTACTAGTCCAACACTCGTTTTTTAATTTTAAAAAATAAATGTTTTCTTTGAATGAAATTAAGAATAAATAAGAATGGGTTTCTTACAATAAACTGATAAATCGAGATTACGCCTGATAAATTGAGGTTACGCCCAAATGTAAAACGAACAAACGAACTTTAAAAAATTTTGATTTTGTTTTTATGACTTGAAATTCTGTTTTTTCCAACAGAAAAAAATTTTCTCATTCACTATGAAATAAATTTGTGAGTAGTAACAGCTAGTTTAATTAAAAAATTTAAAATCATTGTATCATTGTATCTACTCAATATCTTTTTTAGAACGAAAGTGTTTTTCAATATTGAATCTAAATATTCAGGGCGTAAACAAAATTTTGGTTATATTTTATTATTAATGTATAAACTTAAATAAGTTTTGGAAAGTAATAGTCTCGCAAACTCTTTTAAATTTCAAAATCTTGAATTATGATATTACTCATTACTTTAGCAAACTCTTCTTAATTGCGTTAATGTTGCTGTTACTATTTTTGTTCACAAATCCCAAAGTCTTAGAAATCATGGATCACCCTAAATACTGGGCCAAAGAAACACCTTTTGCCATTTATTAAGTTTAAATTGTCACAATTTGACATTTTAAACTTAACCAGTGTTTCTCGATCATCAGTTGGATTTACTTTGTGGCAATATAAACAGACTCAAACAACTGAAAGAAGAGTTGGAATTGGAATAAAGAAAGGATTTTAAGATTAATATAAAAGCAATATCAATAATTCGCTCCATACAAGCAAAACTTTGTCAGTCTTAGAGAGATCTTACTAGAAAATTTAAATGCAGCCAAGCTATGATGGGAAAAGTACTTAGATCTCACGAATATAAATATCATAAAAAGAAAACTATAAGGCGATCCATCGATGGAGAAATTAAAGCAATTCGTCGTTCAAAAAAGTTAAATAATTTTTTAAACCGTGAAAACTTAATTGAAACCGTGCATAATTGAAGGCAATGAAATCTATTGCAAACAGGACTTTTCATAATTCCCAGGGCAGCAATAAATTTATTAGTCAAAAGATAAATAAAGTGTTAAAAAAGTTTCTTATATTGCAAGTATCTGCTCATGTGGTTTAAAAAGAACACCATACATTACTCGTAAAACTTTGAACGCAGATTTATTTATAAAAGAATGCTTAAAGAAACACCTTTTGCCATTTATTAAAAAGCATGATATTTCCACAATATTTTGGCCTGATTTGGCTACAATTCACTTTTCCAAGTCTCCAGAATGATATAAACAAAATGGTCAAATTTGTACATAAGGAAGAAAACCCTCTAAATTGTCCTAAGCAGCAAGTTATTGAAAGTTACTGAACAATTTTTTTAAGAAAGATTATCAATAGATTTTAAGAAAAAAACGGATTACCGCCTCAAAAAAAAAATAAATCAAAGCAAAATCTAGAAGATGATATCAAGTACTCGCTAAGATATTCGGTTTTTATATAAGCGTCCAATAAAAAATGTAAAAGTTTATTGAAATAAATAAATAATTCAATTAGCTTCATTGTTTCAAAAAATTACAAAACTCTGTTAAGTAGATTTCGCATAATTCAGAATTAAAGGGTGCTGAATTTCATCTTGTTTAACCGAGAGTACCTGTTTTTCAAATATGTTTTTCAAGACAAAGTGAATCAAAATTATATTGCTGCTAAGATTGTTTAAAGATGAATGGTTGAAATAAGTTACAAGTTGCTGACATTTTGAAAGAACATCATTTACAATATTTTCAATCATGAAACATCTAATTGAAGCGAATGAGTAGTATAATGGATCAAGGAAATTTTAGCTTTACCATAACGCTATTTTAGCTTTACCATATAACGCTATTTTACCATATAACGCTATTTTAGCTTTACGCTATATTTAGCTTTACCATAACGCCATTTACCATAACGCTAGCACCGTCGCTCCCAAGAAGAGGCCCGGTGGGAAATTGGCTAGCAAATAGCTAGCTATAATTGTAACGATAAAGACAGCAATTTGGTCACGAGGACCGCTAGCTTTTATAAGTAAGCGAAAAGCGAAAAGCTATCGATATTTGTACAGATAAAGACAGCTATTTAGCTGTGAGGACAGCTAGCTTAATAAGATAAAGACCCACTGGCTATTGTAGCTAGTGTCATATCGTAATAAAATTGTTGTCTAAAAACTTTTGATATGTGGCTATCAAGCAGCTATAGATTTTTAGATATTTTGTAGCCAGCAACAAAGCTACGATATTTAGCTTGCGACACATTGCTACAGAATCGCAATGTTTAAAGTTCAATTATATTCATAATTATCCCTTTAGCGCCCACCAAAGCCTAAATTTTTCTAAAAATTCCGAAACCTTCAAAAACCAACTGTTTTAGGACCTAGATTATGAATAAAATAATAAAATCCAAAAATCTCACTTGCAAAGTCAATTATTTAATTGTAGCATATCTGCAACAATGGGAATATGAGGAATTAAATTATAAATATAGTTTTCTTTAAAAAAAAGAGATTATTTTTAAATTTAAAGAACAAATTAAAGCAATTTAACAGAAAAATAAACTTTTACTTATGTTTTGAACTGACTAACTCTCTTCTATACAAATAAAAAACATTTTCAGCATAAATATACATTTACAGTAAACAATCGTTTATAATATAAATATAAGTTATAAAAACAAATCTTAAATGCCATTAATGGTAGTCATGAAAGCAATTTCTGTATTTAAATAAGCATAGCCAAACATTGCACTTCTTGCAACAGATATAGGAAAAACCGGTTTTGCATTTCTTACATCGCTGACGTTTGTCACTATAAGTTGGTAAGTGATCAAATCCGTCTAACCGGATATCCTTTGTAGGATTACTCTGAACAGCAGCAGGTCTTTTGGTTGGTAGAGGTATTGCATCAAGTGATGGTCTTCCAGTTTTACTTTTTACAACAGCTATCAGGCTAGAAGCTACTGCAGCTTGAAACTTTTTTAGAGGCATGAATTTTTTAGTGGGGCAAATAATTTTTAAGTCCTGACGATACAAAAACCATGCATTTGATAAAGCAATAAGAAGGGTATGTGCCCATATATATACATACCACCTATGGCATTTCAAATTTGGTTTGTAGAATGAGCACATCATATCCAGTTTGTCAACTCCAGCAATATTTTTATTATAAAACTGGACTATGTAAGGTTGCTTTACCATAATATATTTGCGGGTTTTTCTGTCATAACGCCTCACTGTATTGATTGGTTCAATACTCGCAAAAGATGAAATTAAAGTTACTGCCTTGTTATCTATCCAACTAACAGCTATGTTATTAGAAATGATGTCAGTACGATAGTCAAATGATCCACGTCCTTGCTTTTTCAATTCTTTTTCTGAAGGCAATGAGCATTTGTTAAGGCGTTTAAGGCGTGCTGTTCCAACATACCATATTCGACGCTTTTTCAGTTCATCTAGCAAAGGCAAAGAAGAAAAATAATTATCAGCAAATATTTTAAAATTATGATTTTCTGGCAAAGTTGAGGTCATTTTGATTACAACAGATGCCCCAATACCATGAGGAGAATATTCATCTTTCTTTTTTATTTCTTTTCCTTGATATAAATCAAAGTCATACAAATACCCGCTGACACCTCATCTACCCCAAAGTTTAAACCCCCACTTATTGGGTTTATTTGGGACATATTGCTTCAAAAATGACCTTCCTTTGAAGGCAACCATTATCTCATCAACTGATTGATTTTCTTCAGGAGAAACTTTTAAGAAATTTTCTCTCAGTTTTTCCAACCAAGGTCTTAATTTCCAGGCCCGATCATTTTTCTTTACTTCATCTGTTACTTTTAAATTGTCAACAAAGTGTAAATAGCGAAGAATAGAAAGAAATCTATTCCTTGATAATACTGAGCTTACTCCATCATAATTCATAAAGGTTTCCCAATAAGATCTCACTGATGGTAGTTTCACAAGACCCATACGAAAATAAACACCAATAAACGATTCTATTTCATTGGATGTGACACAAATGCTTGTACCTGATGACTGGCAACTATATAAACTAGATTGTTCAGCAAGAATGTCAATAAGATTGTCATCAACAAACATTTTAAAATATTCGTATGGAGTGGTAGTTTCATCTGGAATAGGTTCAATAGGTACTTCTTGAAAAGTAATATCACCAATCAAGTCATTATCAAGTGGAACTTTTTTCCAAAGTGGCAAAACTCTTAAACTCTTTTTATTTTTATTATTTTAAATTTTTTTGGGTGGAGGTGAGGAGTTGTAACAAAGCATATCATCGTCTGAACTGCTTTCTTGGGTAAGAGACTCCAAAATGGGTAAAGGTATATTGGCATTGTTGTTATCATGCACAATTTTAGTACTGCTTACAACTGCAGTCGAAAGATCAGGTTCAAAATCAGAGTCTGACTCACTCAGATCCTCAAAATCACTTTCACCATCTAGAATGTATGCTAGAGCATCTTCAATGTTTAATTTTTTATTTTTATTCATCTAAAGAAAAGTAATATATGTATGTATGTATATATATATATATATATATATATATATATATATATATATATATATATATATATATGCATATATATGTACATATATATATATGCATATATATGTACATAT